AAAGTGCTTGCTCATAGGGGGTCATATGATTGTTGGGCTTTTCTCTGTATCTATGAAGCGCCTTGAGGCGACATTTGTTGTGATTTGGCGCTTTATAAATAAATTGAATTGACATCTCACAACACGCTGGGTTATTATGTATTCAAGCTGTTCCTAAACCTGATCAGACATTTTTCAGGGGCTTAAAACTAACTGAGCAGAGAGGGAGTGAAGAAAAAGGAAATAAAAGTGAAGACGTGGAGACAGAGGCCTGCAATCAGTTTTGCTGAGAAGCTTATGCCGACCCCACCTCTCCTGGTTCCTTGTCTTTCGGTTGGGGCCGTAACGCTCATAGCCGCTGTTTGTATCCTGGCAGCGGCAGCACCGAAGAAAACGTCTGCATATTTCTGCGACGTCTGTACTTTCTCACAAAAAGGATCTGCAGCCCTGAGATGAGAGCGCCCTGATCTGAATCGGTGAAGTCAACCCCTCTCTGAAAGGCAGGAATCATAAAAGCACAAGTCCACTGCTACAGGTGAACTGCAGCCGCCCCAAGTCTGTGGCTGGAGCTTAGAGGGTACGACAACATGTGTCCCAATAATGGTACGATAAGTAGACGTGGAGAGAGTCATACTGTGTGTGTACCGTGCTGTATATGGACAGCATGATCAGCTGAGCAGAGATCTCGCCTCGTGTCCACTTCCATCTGCTCTGATCTGACAAGCTGCAGCAGAAACATCTGAAGAGAGCCATATGTGTGTGTGTGTGTGTCTGCTATCAATCGCACACAGAACACTGTGAGAACACTCACAGAACACTGTGTGTCTGTGTGTGTGTGAGAGAGGGAGCAGCATGCCCACCTAAGCTCAGCTGTGCTGTGTGATCATTATTGTGACAGCTGAACTGCAGAGGAATCATGGTTCACTTGTTCAATTTTTAGAGCGCATGAAGCACCTAATGTCAACAAGCAGAGTGTGTATATGTGTGTGTGTGTGTGTTTGTGTTGGGGATTACAGCTTTCTTGGACGTAATTATACAATCCTACTAGCTCACGCAGACCCTGACCATTTTTTCACTTTAATCTGAAAATCCCTGACAGTAAAAGATTCCTCTTGCTTTCTAAAACATATTGTCTCCATTTTTGTCTCTTTGAACCTTCTTTGTTAAAGGTCTTTTTTTAAATTCTTCCTTCTTTCATCCCTCCATCTGTCTGCCTCTCGTCTTCCCTCCACTCTGTCTCTAATTTGTCAGGGAAAAGGAAATTTTTCTTTCCCTCCCATTGATTTATCTTTTCCCTTCATTCCAACTTTTCTGCAATTAATTCCTCTCTGTCTACATCGTCTTTGTCACTGCCTCTGTCATTTATGTCCCTTAATTATCAGAAAAAGCTGTAGGCCTTCCTTCCAACAGGGATGAAAAGACATCTGTCATTAAACGGCACGTCATGCATACAAATTCTTCCTGCCGTTGCTTCATATTTTACTTTGTTTTGGTGTTTTTGGGGTGTGACGGATGAAAAACAATATCTGTAAAGGTAAAAGTCAACAGATGTGAAAATAAGCTTATGGATAAACTATCAGCTCAAACCTGAAAGTTCATCACAGGAATAAGATGATTTTGTTTCTGTCTTTATTCAAAGCTAAGTACTGAAGAAGAAGCAGTAGAAGATTAGCTTGTTATAAACACTGGACTGGAACATAAAAGGCATAAAATAGCTAATTCTGTAATTCTGTGGCTTTCTTGTATCTCATCATTACAGGCTATCATATGAATAAAAGTCTTGATATAGGAGTTTTATGTTTTTTTAAAAAAAAAATGTTTTTATTTATTTTTATGTATTTTTGCAGTTTTTAGGGAAAAAAAATAATTAATGACACAGAGGTCTCAAAAAATCACACAACCCTGTGAAATGTTACAGGGTTAAGGAATACAAACCTTTAAAGTGGCTCCGTTCTGCTGTTTCTTATTTCCTGTCTGCTGTTCCAGTTTCCAATAATGAGCCAAAACCTCGAGCGTTACAGTTTCTTTCTACTCGTAGCTCTGTATGATATCCTTATATGATATTATTATATTTTCAGGCACCTGGCTATGAGAGTAAAAGCTGCACCGTCCTGCTGTTAATACCTTCCATTTGGGAGGGGAAGCCAATCAGATGGAAGGTCATTGTAAGGGGGAGGAGCTAAAAAAGCTAATTTCAGACAAGCACTGAGAAAGGATTATTTTAAACTGTGAGTCATGCAAAGCTGCTCTCTAAGAGTCCAGGAATAAATGAATTAGAAATAAGGTATGTTTATGAAGTCCAAGCAGACTACAATAACGAGTGATTTGTCCTCACCTTGGGCAGAGAGGCTCTTGAACCGGAGCTCTGCGTGGTCATGGTCAGCACGGTGGTGATGCCCAGGCCCACCCGGGCGGGCGCGGCGTCCATGTTGATCCAGAAGGAAACCCAGGACAGGATGACTATGAGCAGAGAGGGGATGTACATCTGGATCAGGTAGTAACCCATCTGACGCTCCAGGTGGAAACGAGCCTCGATACAGGTGAATTTACCTGGGAGGTGGGGGACAAAGAAGTGTCTTTGATGAGGTCAGAGTTTGTGGGCGAAGAGATATGAGACAACAGAGAGAGCAGAAGATATGAGAAAGGACAGCAGTTTCTTTGGGCTCGTCCTGTCGAATAAGAAGAAAGAGAAGGGTGAGGGTGACAAATGTCCTGTTACTGCTGCTTTGAGTGAGCACACCAGCTTATTTACTATTAACACATTCTTGTCTCAGCTGATCACATACTAACACATCAAAACCCACTGGTGTTGTATTTTATAGAACTGTGTGGACCCTTTAGCTCGTGCTGTTGATGTGAGGGCGCATGCAGGAAAGATGCCAGGGTGGTCAGGGAAGTCTTAAAAGTAGAAATAGCGTCTGCCTCCCGAATCCAAACTGGAAGCTGGTTCCACAGAAGAGGGGCCTGAAAACTGAAGGCTCTGCCTCCCATTCTACTTTTAAATAGTCTAGGAACAACAAGTAAGCCTGCAGTGTGAGAGCAAAGTGATGGTAAATGGACTGGTTCTTATATAGCGCTTTTCTACTCTTCTAAGCACTCAAAGTGCTTTACACAACTTGTGCATTCACCCATTCGTACAAGCACGTTGTTTTAAGTGCTTTCTAAGTAACATTCACATACATTCATACTCTGATGGATGCACCGGAGAGCAATTTGGGGTTAATATCTTGCCCAAGGATATTTGGCATGCAGACTAGGGGAAGCCAGGAATCGAACCGCCAACCTTCCGATCAGTAGATGACCTGCTCTACCGCCTGAGCTACAGCCACCCCTTAGTGGTCAAATGGAGTGATACGGTACTATAAGGTCATTAAGATAAGATGGGGCCTGATTATTAAGTACACCCTCTCACAACACTAATCATCTTCTTTATCGTCGTGAAGAGTCCTGCAACCTTGTCTCGTGTATTCTACTTCAGTGTGTTTCAGAGGGAGGAGGTGGGTTGCAAAGTGGCTTGCAGATGGGCAGTGCATGGTGCAGTTTAAACATCGGAGTCATCAGGGATTATGGAATTAAGCGATTAACTTTAAGTTCTGTGTCAATAACAGAGAGAAAACCAGAAGAATCACCAAATTAACCACGAGCCCTGAGTTCAGTTTCAGAGCAAGAGATGGGGGTCACAGATCATGGCATGTAAAAGTAACAGTGCCCATTTTTGCTGTTCTTATCTTTAGCGTTTTTTAAAGCAACTGGTTTGGTTTTTAATGAGATGGCTTACGACACACATAAGATTTTCTCTCCACAGCTTTATATTCATGGAGCCAGTCATTTTGTGTCGGTAGGTGTTCTATTTTCACACGGAAATCTCATTTGGAGAATGATTGAACTTGCAACACACAAAGCACACAGCGCTGATTCCAGGAAAAAGAAACGACGCTGGTCAATGTTTAAACAAAAGCAAAATGTTCTTTTATCAGTTTCCCCGAGGCAGTGCGGTTCTATTATCACCAAAGAGTGTTACTGAATTCTCGATTATCTTCATTTGAAAGGGCACATTAAACAATGGCAAAGGCACATCTCCTTGAAGAACAGGTGGAAATGATGAGACGGAGGGTAAATTAAAAGAACAACAAGCACAGATTGGAGGAAGCAAGGAAACAAGAGCGAGGGGGAGAGTAAGGGAAGGAAGGAAGGAGCTCTCAGACTGAAAAAAGGATGAGCCACAGAGACGATGCTGACGTCTTTGAGACAAAATGTCATCTTCCTTCAGCGCTCATGCTAAGCCAAAGCAGAAAATCAGAGAGACGTACGGGGGCTCGCCAAATATCAAAGGAAGCCAAACATGTGGTATATCTGAAAACAAACCCAGGAGGAGGTTTGGGATTCAGCCTGCCACTCACAGAGTGTGAAGAGGAGCGAATCATTTCCATCTTCACAGCACAGCAGTGTTTTTCATCACTCTAAGAGGACAAAGTGAACAGTTTATTTTAGTCTAAGAAAGAGAAGATGAGGCATTGTGTTTAACACACGAATCCATCAGCAGCTAAACACAACCAGGAATAATCAGGTTTATCAAGACCAGCAGCTCAATAAAAATATTCAAAATATCCTGTTTACAGTCCAAGTTAAACAGGTGAGTTCTGCCCCTCTGCAGGTGTTGTGATGAAAGAAATTATCTATAAAGACAAAAACAGCATCAGGCTGTAAACATGCTTATTTCTGCTGCAAAGGTTCAACATGGGAGTCTATGGAGACTGACTCACTGCTGGAGCCTCTAGTGGACAGTAGAGGAATTGCAGCTGCTTGCTTCATTTGCAGCCCTGGAGGTCACCTCTGGAGTTTAAAGTGTAAAGAAAAGATGCTCTGAAAGTATCTGGTGACCTGAGCCAAGCTTCATGTCAGCTGCACTGAAGACACATCTGTTATAACGGCTGCATCAGCATTGTGCTCATCTTTACATGAGCTTTATGTCCTGCAGCGTCCTGCTGCTTTTGGCTGTTCAGTTTTATTTTATAAAAGGCTAAAGCGGTCAGCTGAAACCCGACAACTGTATGACAGAGGAGGGAAAGCACTAATTATTTAACTACGGGGAATAACGGTGCGTACTCTCAGACGGTTCCACTCCAAACGAAGATGGCTCCATTGAGACGTTTGCATTTTCTTCTCTGTCCATCTGTCTAAATGCTGACTGAAGCAGGCCAGTTTGCTGGATTGTTGGTTTTGGAAAAGTACATCTGTGAATAACTCCCACAATCATGACCCACTCTGTTATTCCCCAACAGGCACAAGCACTCTGCCTTTTTTCACTCATTCAGGAGGCTCAGAGTTGGACGCATCTTCATAAATCAGTGATCAAACAGTCACGTCCATCTTATCCGTCTGAGTGTTTCTCCGGCACGCTTGTTGTGTCTGTGTAGAAAAATGAATTTATTTGTCTTTGTCAAAACGTAGGACCGTGAACTGGATGTTTTTGTCCCACATCGCCTCACAAAGCAGCACTTTAACTTGACTTTGTTGCCTTCTTAAGTCAGCGCACTACATGCAGTGTGCTTTTAAAAGCCTGCTGATGCGTTTCCCTTGTTGTACCTGCCAGAAGCACTGCTCATCCTTTTGAGGGGAAGCTCTGGATGTTTATGCTCACAGCATGCTGCCGTGAAAAGGGAGTGCAGAGATTAGGAAGAACAGAGTCAGGACCTACTTCTCCTAATCCCTTTGCTCATGCTGTACTAGACTGCACAGCAGTACAAGTACACACTGTGCTTTAGTTTTAGGCACTTTAGATTTTTAGATGCTTATAAGAATTCATTGTGCAGCATCACTGTGGTCCTGAACATAGAGCCCGACAGAAAGAAGCTTCTGCAGACACAAGAAAACGTGTAAATCCTACAGCAGATGGTGAGAACCCCCCCAGAGGCCTGATCTCAAAAATCACAGAGTCAGTCTGGTTTTACATGAGACAGTCATTCATCTTTTTCTGTGTACAGGATGCAGTCTGGAGTTTATTTGGAATAAATAAAAAAGTATTCATGACATTATTTCTGACATCATCCTTACTTTGTACAAACCTGGAAGCAATCACCCTTAAAAGTTGAGAAATTTCGGTCTCAGTTCCTGTTTGTGTTTTTTTATCAAGGTTATATTTTCACTCAGTTATCTGACGTGTGGTGCTTTGTTCCAGAAAAAGATGCGGTCCACTCTCACTGTAGATCATAGATGAACACTGCATTCGTTTCTACTGTTCATGAGAGCAAAATACATTTTCTGGGTTTGACATTGACGGAGTCTCGGGAAGAAGAAGGTGTGTCCAGATGAAACATCATCAGAACTGATTTGACAGATGTGACATGATTCGTTTCCATGACAAACCTCTTATTGTAAGTTCATCATAACAATTCTTAAATGAAATGTTTGAAATCAACAGCAAAACTGTGCAGCTGCTGTTTTTGTGGTTTCCTGCAGTAAAAACTGACTCCAACAAACAGGATCATTGAGACCAGTTATCTGTCCAATCCTGTCAAAACTGGCTCACAGTGAGTCTGCTGCACTTGTATCTCATTCTTTTGGTCACAGCAGCATAGCTGCACAGCTTTACTTCCACACTCGGCTCTCTCTTCACCACAGCAGACCAGTATAGCCAGTCCACATCACCACATCACTGCACGAGATTTGGGAATATTTTCCCTAACCCTAACCCTTATCATCTGAAAAGTGTCTTTGCTTGTAAACACATACAGAGACATCATCTAATATCTGTTTGAATGCCTCTGTGATACCTTACCGACACCTGAAGTTAGCTAATTAAACATTTTTGTTAGCACAACTTGTAAATCAAATGTAAAGGTTTATTTTCTGTGGTGATGTGGACTGGTTGTACTGGTGTGCTGTGGTGAAGCTGAGTGTGAAACTAAAGCCTTAATGGTTAATCTGCTGTCCTCACATGCTACCATGAGCTCTGTGTAGATACACCCTCCATAGGGTATCTGCTGCTTCTCCACACTGACCAGGATGCCTTGTCTCTGACATGAGGTGTTTCAGGATGTCCTAGTGCTGTGCCCCTCTGCTAAGTCTGCTGCCCCTGGGACCTGGACCCAGATGAGCAGTAGAAGATGGATGGATAAGTAATGGTATGCTAAGCATTATGGTTATGCTAGTTAGCCACGCCGGGGTCCCAACAGTAATAGCTGTAATGCTTTGGTTTTCATCTCTGGATGACAGTAAATGGTAAACAGGCTGGTTGTTATATATGGTCTGTTAAAGGTTAAACATTATTTTCAAATCTGAAATTCTAGCATTTAAAATGCAGACTGCAGTGGGTTTATTTGCATTGCAGCACTGTAGCAACAGTAACCGTGTCCCTCTGCCTCTCTGTAATGTAATGAGCACACTGGGTCTCATAATAAACCACAGAGAGCGAGATGGCCGAAGATCCATTTAATCAAAGACGATCAATGCATGGCGGCCTCATCAGTTAGAGTTAACCCTAAAAGACTGGAGAGAGGAGGAGAGGAAGAGTGAAAGGAGGGAGTGACCGAGGAGAAGAAGCATGTCAA